GCTGGCACGCCCCCTACAAAATATGCATCAGAAAAACAATTCACAGGGGCTCCTATTGGCGGTCATAATTCAGCGCAATATCTAAATGAACAACGCTAAAATGAGACAACCGCTAAAATATGTTCCTTTAGAGTATATACATATAAAAAAAAAACAAATTAAGGGGAGACTACTGTTTATTTGAAAAAAAACCAATGCAGTGGGACAGGAATCCTTAAACGATCAGAAGTGATGACGTAACATTCTTCAAGTGAACTGTCATTGCTAAAATCCACAATATCAATTATCAAATATACTTTCTCTACAAAGGGTTGTTTTTATAGAAAGTCGGAATGTTATACCACGCTGAAAAATAAAATACACAAATTAAAAAAGGTTGATCAAAACACAATATAACGTTATATTTCAAAAGTTTTTCCCATAAGTAAAATGGCTTAAAACAATTAAATCAAGCAATTTAAATTTAATCCGACCAGACAGCATAGTCTATTCTCATTATTTAAGTTTTTGTTATGATTTTCAAGTTCTTAAGGCCACTGCCAAAAACTGTAACCAATTTGCTGTTGTTTGGAATAACGATAGCTTAGCTAAATCAAATCAATTCCGAAAAGAAAAACTAGACCTTGCGGGTCTTTCATGAAAAATAATAAAGATGAAATAAACAAAATAATACCAACGACAGTGTATTGAGAGTAATGCAAAATCAGCGGGGCTTGACCGGGATTCTAGCCCTGGACATCAGATTGTTATACTATCGCTCCAACTGATGGAGCTACCTGGTCACAAGAAGTGTCCTGGTCCAACTGTGCTACGGTTTGATCCAATCGGAAGTTAAGTGGAGGTAACACTATACAGGGGAAAAAACACAGAACCGTGGGGCAGTGATCCTTAATGCTGCAGATCAAATAGGCTATATGATGTGATAAATACAGCACATAAAATGTAAAACAAAAACACTATTTACCTACGATTTTATTGTAAACAAGTCTAGTCCTTTGTCAAGTGCTGCAATGACCGCCATATCCTCTGGTGAGAGTTGAAAGTCGAAAACCTAAAACAGCCATAATTGAATTTTATAAAGTATTTTTGCAGATTCGGGAAAGAATATGCCTACTGTTTCCAAATGCATATTATCCCGCGAGGCGACTAATATTGCCCCCCCCCCCATCCCCCAC